ATGAAATACTTAAAAAGGATAACTAAGGTTGAATAGTGTTTTAGACCAGAAATGTTTCCAAATATCTGGATTGTTTTTTAAGATTATTTTCTGAACAGTCAATGGTTTACTCCTTCTCCGTTCCACTATTGGTTCACTTAAGCACACTTACAAAATGTTATAATTTGAAAAAAATAATTATGGCTTTTGTTTTAATGACTTTGTTAGGAATCAACTGATTTTGCCCTGATGTTGGAAAGTTATGAAATATATTTGCATATTTAAACGCTAGGGATCACATTTTATCTCGGAAACTCAGTTAAATACCATTTCTTTCACATATTTTAAATTATGTGGAAGGTATTTGTTTCTTTTGAGGACTTTAAAGAATGTTTCCAATTTCAAAGTTTTCCATAAAAAGTTTAGCTAGTTCCATGTAAAGTGTTATCCTTTTTTTAAAATGGTATTTTAAGCACCAAAATGATGTGGTAATTAAAATAATTTCTGGTTCACAAAACTAATAATTTCTCATTCACAAAACTAGAACTATAATAGTTCTTAATTTTTAAAATATAGTTTAGGTAAGGAGTATATAAAGTCTACACAAATTTCTATATGAGGTATCATTTAAAAGTCCATTTTCATCTTTCTAATCAAATTAATACTTGGAAATTTTAAGATACCCATGTAGGCATTATCTGCTGCTTTCCTTATCCCAGCTACTTTGAATATTCATAGTGAACCTTAATGATCCCATCAGTTCTTAAGAGAATATAAAATACAACTTATATTCACCAGCATTACAGGCATTTGTTCTAGTTATTGGCTACTGCTAATAATAGGATTATTAGACTTAGAACACTATAGATGTGATACTTCCTTTCACTTACACATTTTAAAATTAATGTATTCTTTTGAAATTGTAAATTTTCATTAATAAATGTAGAATGGTTTTCCCTTTGGTTCACCATGCTCTCTAGCCAAAGAAAAATAAAAATTTTTACAGGTTCAAAGATAATTTTTTCATAAAAGAAAAATATGAAAAATTTATTCATGTGTTACTTATTCATGGATAAGAGAATAATTTTAAGAAAACATTTTAAGAAAAACTTAGAGCTTTGCAAAGGATTGATAAAGGATTTAAAAGAACAAATAGACTGATGACTCACAGGTCTATATACCCCTGAAACATAATATATTTTATGTCAAGTAATTGAATTTGAATTAAAAAAATAAAATATAAACATTAAAATTATAAAGCTCTAAAATAGAAATACATTACAACTAATCTGCTTAGAAAATCAATTACTAAAAAAATTTTAGGAGTTTTTGTACTTTTAATATGCAGCAATGAAACATAGTCTATACATTCCTAACAAATAAAAATGGAGACTCAAAACCAAAAAATGGGGGAACAGTAGTTAGCATACTTTGTTTTTAACAACTTAAAAATAAAAAAGAATATATAGATGAGGCAGGATTACATTAGCATTTTAGTTCTATAGAAAGTCAGTTAAGCTGTTTCTTGATATTTAATGATACAGTGACTGAAAGGTCTTTGTGGATATTTTAAGTACATTTACAGTATTCCCAGTAATGTTCTTGAGTGTTTTTCTGGAATTGCTTGGGAATAAGAAATTTGTGTTTAGAAATCTAAAATGTTTTTGATATAATTCAATGTATTTTTAATAGATAATATTAAGGATTTTTTATTCTTAGTAAATTTATGGATTAATACACAAGTAATAATTTGGCTTATAGTTTCAAGAAAGAAAGTTATTAGCACACTCTTTGTAGAAGTAGCAAATAGTTAACTCTAAACTCTTGTTACTTCTAAACCCTTCCCTGTATCAGATAACGCTATTATAGTGAGATGTATTTTAAGCACTTTGAGTAGTAAATCCTTTTTTTTAAACCTGATGTGTTCATCATGGGCATGTTGGTACATTTTTTTGGCCAATATAACTTTAATATAATTCAACATAGTTATCAAATACTGGCTTCCAGTAAATCAATTTAATAAGAAATTTAAATTTTTACTACATGCAAGGTACTGTTTTAGGTGTTGGGAGGCTCTAAGAAAGATCTAAGAAAGGGCCCATAGTTCTCATTTTATACTTCACCTCACTTGGCATTATTATTTCACTTAGGTGATGTCTTGCTAACCAGAATGTAAAATATTATGTGAAGGATTTTATACATCATTATCATCATTATCAATGTAACAGTGATGTTGTTGTAAAGAGTTTTATAGTTTTAAAAAATTGTCTTACTTGTTACAGTCTTAAAATGAGTAAGATCTTTTGTAATTTAGGCTCAAACTGAGATAGGCTTTTCAAAGTAATAATATTTTTTAATTAAAGGATGCTTACTACTGTCTTCTGACAGAGTTTATGTTTTCAGTTTCATAGTTTTGTGCTAATGAACTTTTTTATTTAGTAAGTATATCCAGGAAACTGCAGGTAAAATATAAAAATTATTATGTTAGGTCTCCAAGTAAAATGTATAGAATATTTTAATTTATGTAGGGTATGAGATCACAGTTTGGCATACCTGTCCCAGAACAGACATTTATGTTTGATTATACCAATTGGGTTTTATAACCATGATTGCTTTGATAAGATTTGCAAGATAAAATCATATATACCTTTAAGAGCAATGCTAGGATATGTCTTGCATATTAAATTCATGAATATCACATAACTTACTTTTGAGTTCATGATTGCTTTTCACCAGTACTTTCCATCTGTCATGGACAGGGATCCCTGAGATGTTCATATTCTGCATTCTCATGTGCATGATACTTAGATTCAAAAAGTGTGGGTGGGGGAAAGCTGCTTTATAGAAATACACGTTCACAGCATTCATGCTGCATGTTTTGTGTGTTCTACTGCAAAGATTGCATGCTGCATACTTTTATTTCTCTGAAGATAAAGAACATAGGCTTATATACACACAAAAATTTAGTTTCATATTTGCCAATAGTTGGAACAGATGGAGGAATGATATATATAATACCTTTTCTATTTTTTTAAAATGATTTTTATAGTATTCTTCAAAAAAAAAACAAGGAAAAAACTTGTTGTTTAAACCCAAAGTGGCTACAAATCAGCTCCTAAACTGTCACTGACATTAGCATCTAGATTTTGTAGTTCTTACAAATCTTTTAAAATATTTATTTACTAAGAAAACATTGCATTAATGCATGATATGAAATTGATCAATTTTTCTTTAAATTGGAATGCAGTTTAAAGTGACTGAATTTTCCAATTTCAGCTACTGCATTTGACAAGGATACAAACTGGAAAATGGAACTGGTATCATCTAATTGCTCTAGGTTCTTTGACTTATAGTAGTTTGGAATAATATTTCCATATGACATTATGTAGATCACGTCATTAATGGCTGATATTAATTACTATGCTCTTCAGCCTTGACAGCAATGAAAAATTATTGGTGAATTTAGCTCTTTCAAATGACTTAAGTGTTCTGGTACATGTTTTTAATTTAAAAATAGATCTTTGGCACTTGGCTTTTGATTATCTGAACACTGGTGTTCTTACATTCACTGTTTGCAGTATAATTGACAGGAATATTGCAATTCCAATGACTGCACATTGGTTTTAAGTTTTATCCTGCTGCTTTAACACAGTGGCACACTTGGCTATAGATAAAAACTAATTTTAGATTTAAACATATCTGTTCTCTGTCACATGTTAACCTATTTTTAGTTTTGTGTGTGTATGATTATGAACCTTTCCATATCTCATACAAGATCAAACGGTATTTCTAAAATTTTAGAGCTGACAACTTCCAACCTTAACATTATTAGTGTGTGTTTAAGGTTGTGCCATAAAGGATTAAAGTACTAGTATTTTTCAACAAGCTGTTCTGCCAGTTGCCACATGTTTTATAAAGATCTACTTAATTCTTTTTTTGCTAGGCATAATAAATAAATGGCTTTGTAAGAGACCTTTTTATATAAACTGATTCTAGTGCTTCCCCAGCACTAGAATTTTTTAACTCTTTTCTGTTAGGCTTTAGTCAATAAAAGTTATTGTTATTTGTATTAAGAAATTCCCTTAATAGTTAAAATCAAGCAGGCCCTTTAAAGAGAGAGGAAATGAATAGGGGAGCCAATTGCTGAGTGTGTACTAAGTACTTTGTGAGAGAAATCCATCCAATAATCAGTCTTACTCTACTTTTCATTCTGCCATAAAGGATGGATTTATTTATTTTAGGTATTATGGTTTTGAATGGCCATTTCCAACTTCTGGATACCCTTAGTGGTTGACTTCCCTATCTTCCACTGCCCAGCATAGTCCAAATCAAACTTTTTCACTTTTATTCTAGATTTTACAACAATCATAGTGATGGTACCAGTTCCATTTTGCCTCCAATTCAGTTGATTATATATTTTTTCTATTTATTTCTCATTTTATAATTGATATCTGGAATAATCAATCAGCAGCTCTTTTCTCATTTATTTTCTCATATTTTTATTCCAGGATTTGCCTCTGAAGCAGGGAGTGTCTGCATTAAAAATGACCTGTAGTTCTCTGCTTCATAGGTTAGAAACTTATTTTAATATTTTGTGGCTAAGCACAGTCCCACTTTTCAAATTCTATAATGGATTACTTAATTGGCATTGAATGTGGACCACAAGCATATATTTCATATTGGGGTTTTCTTTATTATTTTAAATGATTAAAATTCAACAAGAACATCCAGCTGAGGCAATAAAAGCTTTATTCTTGCTTTACAACTTAAAACATTAAATTAGATTTTTAAAAATCTATCAATTATAACACAAGTAAAATATTACTATTTGGGCATTTTTTAAAATTGCATTTTTTAGGCCTTGTATTGCTTGAAGCCTTTATATTCTAAAACTTAACCAAATTCCAACTATTCATTTTGGGGAAAAACAATCAGTTCACGAATCACATTTTCAATGGGACTGCTAGCCAGCATAGGTGAAAATATGTATAGTGTATTTACTCTTAAATTGTACACCGCAGATGCTTCTTCAGCTCCCTCCTCTTCCTCCATGGGCGGTGCTTGCAGCTCCTTTACCACCTCTTCCAGCCCTACCATTTATTCTACCTCAGTCACCGACAGCAAGGCTATGCAAGTGGAGAGCTGCTCCTCAGCCTTGGGGGTAAGTAACAGAGGGGTAAGTGAAAAGCAGTTAACCAGTAACACAGTTCAGCAGCATCCATCAACACCGAAGAGGCACACAGTCTTGTACATCTCACCACCACCTGAGGACTTGCTGGATAACAGTCGGATGTCCTGCCAGGATGAGGGGTGTGGATTGGAATCAGAGCAGAGCTGCAGTATGTGGATGGAGGATTCCCCCTCCAACTTCAGTAACATGAGCACCAGTTCCTACAATGATAACACTGAGGTACCTCGTAAATCACGAAAACGAAATCCAAAGCAGAGGCCGGGGGTCAAACGACGAGATTGTGAAGAATCTAATATGGATATATTTGATGCCGACAGTGCCAAAGCACCTCACTATGTGCTTTCTCAGCTTACCACGGACAACAAAAGCAACTCAAAAGCAGGAAATGGGTTGGTATTCACATTTTTTAAAGTTCTATCACCATTGTGCAAAACAAAACAAAATATAAATAAATTATTCCCAGTTTTTGTAGTTGTTCAACCCAAGTGTGCATACAAAGCAAAGATACTGATTTTATCATTGAAATACATGAAAATTCAAACTTAAAATTACCAAGTTTCACTAGAGGAAAACATATTAATAGATTTTAGCAATAGGTATCTTATTCTGGGTATGATTGGTAGAAAATAATCTGTTTTGAAATAACCTTTAAATTTCAAATGGATTTAAAAATATTTTTATTCAGACAAATAGCTTGAGTGAAATGGCCCTAGTTGACTCAAAACATTTGAAAAGGGCTAGTTTGTGTTCTCTCATGTTGTCTCCTGATTTGGTTCAACCCATTTCCATTTCTATGAGGATTTTAGACTTTTTTCTTTTGATGAAAACAAGAAAAAACTAAATTGATGGTTTGATTCCTATCATTTAGATTCATGTATTTATTTTAAGCTTTTTCTTTGATACATTGTGCTGACATTTAAAAAAAAATAATTTATCACTAATTGTTTTTCCTCTGTTTCTGGGTTTATGTATTAGAAGGGTGATAGAACAGATCATGGTACATGTTTGAGTTTTCATTCATCTGTGCCAGTTCACAACACTCACTATAAATATATCTGAATATAAATATATTTCAGTGGCTATAGTATAGGATACTGTGACTTATTTTTAACTTTCTGATTCCTTTAGTACTTTTATTATATTTAATTCCTACACTTTTTAAATTAGATTTTCATATAATTTGATAAAATTTAACTCAGTGGATTTTGAGAGATTACTTTTTTGGGAGGCAAAATATGGTTCTTTAGTTGATCCAGAACCTCCTACAATTTCAGTTTGTTACAAAGAGTGATGGAGAAGCTGCTACTTCATGACATCATTCCTACCTGTTAAGTTAGATATCTGGTTGAGTATTATAGAGAATATTTTTAATGTATATTAAACTTGTTCTTAGTCTGTCAGTACATTTTTTACATCGTTTATCTACCATTTACCTAACATTTAAGCATAATTATTCTATACTGTTTTCTCCTCTCATTTAGAACTCCTTTGGAGTGATATAGTTAAATAAAAATAAACATTTAAATGTTTTTTCTTTTTAGAAAGTCCAAATTAGGAAATTATCTTAAAAAAAGCAAACAACAAGATACACCCTTTCCTAAAATATTGCCATTAGCAGAGCCAATTCTAGAACATAGTACCTATAAAATAATGTTCTGAAACATAGTAGCACAGATTTAAAAGGCTCATGTATATCGGTCATTAAATACGGTATTTATTTGGGCTTCAATGCAGAAAAAATTTTTTAAGTTCCAGAAGAGAGATTTTCATTTTTATATTGAAATATATGTTAATGGTCCAAATGAAGAACAAATAAAATTTTGACATAGGGTTAGTCAACACACATGGTTTGCAGTTCCTATTAAAGAGAATATCTTGACCTACATCTTTTCTGCTTCTGCTTTTGTATGATAGATATATCTTAGAAATGATTTGAGGTTACCCAGGGAAAGTATAATAACATTTGTCAAGACAAAATCTCTCATGAAATAATTCATGGAACAGAAACTCATCAAGCAGCAGAAGAAATGTCCAGCTTCTTAGGTAATGGAAAAATATTTGGCACTAGCAAATAGAAATAATGGAAGAAGTTTTCATTTTGAATCTGTAAGAACTATATCAAGGAGAGGATAAAACCTTATATAAATATATAGAAAAGTAGGCTTTTCAAAACAGTTATTAAGTGCATCTCAAGCTAACATCCTATATTCTTCAAAAAGAAAGGTGTTAGAAACATGAAAGAAATTTAGAAATCTTTTGAGGAATAAGGTATATTTAGCCTTAGATCTAATGTGTCATAAATTTATAATTTATATAATGTACACTATAGGAAATATAGTCTCAAATATGTTGTAACAGCAGTTTGTTGATTTTCAAGATGAAAATAGCATTTTTGTATAGTTAAAATGTTGTATAAAAGAGTTTGTTAAGAAAACAAAATCATTTGAAAAGGAACTACTTAGTATTTAAACATTACTAGCCATGTCATTCTTAAATTCTTCAACTAAACATCCTGAGAATCAGTAGCCCTATGTCTCTTTATAGATATTTCTAGAAATTAAGACATTATGTCATCTGGATGTGAAACCCTTTTTAGGCATTTCGTAATGGAAGTTATTTTTTTGTGACATAGACAACCAGAAGGATTTGTAACCCAAAGGAATTAGAATGTCATCTTAAGACTTCTGAAGAGTAGGCCAAAACAGTGGATTTACCTTTTAGATGTCATTTAAAAGTAAAATCCCATTAAATCCATTTAAAAGTAAAATCCCCAATTAACTGCTCCTCTCTTGTTTGTTCTTCAGACATCATGCCTTAAAAATTAGTAATTTCATTGACTACTTTTCCAAGAATTAGTTGACATTTTCATTGTTTTATGTGTCTAAAGATCTAAATATATATATGTGTGTGTGTGTGTGTGTGTGTGTGTGTGTGTGTGTGTGTATATATATTTCATCTTTACATTTGAGCTTTAGAGGATAAAGATAGTTTTGAGGGCTTTTAAAAGTATCATTTCAGAAGTTGTTTAGTTACATGGACTAGTCTTCTTTAAGAATATATATACTTGTTGGGGCGCCTGGGTGGCTCAGTGGGTTAGGCCGCTGCCTTCAGCTCAGGTCATGATCCCAGGGTCCTGGGATCGAGCCCCGCATCGGGCTCTCTGCACAGCGGGGAGCCTGCTTCCCTTCCTCTCTCTGCCTGCCTCTCTGCCTACTTGTGATCTCTGCCTGTCAAATAAATAAATAAAATCTTTAAAAAAAAAAAAAAGAATATATATACTTGTCAACTCACTTAGCAGTCTTCATCCCAAATGAAATATTTTGTTTTACTGAAATAGTAAAACTCGTTTTCATCTGTTTATCCTCATAAATATTAGCTTGGCTAGCATAAGTGAATATAAAAACTCTATCTTGCTAGTTCATTGACATATGCTAAATTTTCCTTGTATTTCAAACTAAGTGTTCCCTTTTCTTATTATAAAATTAATAGGTATTAATTACAAAAATTTGGAAAAATGCAGAAAAATAGGAGAAAATAAATAACCCATAATCTAGTCACTCTATAGAACTGCTTTTAGCATTTTGCTATATTTACTTTTCAACAAATATTTGGGGAGTATTTTTACATAGTTTCTGTAAGTGAATATTTTTGCTTTGATTTTAAAATAGGTAAAAAATGATGTAATTGTAGGTTTTCATAGATAAGAGCAAATGTATTGAGAGCACATTGTATTGAAAGCAAATGTTTGAATTTCTACCCAGAATGATGAAAATAGGATTTGTTGCCCATTGTTCCCGTTTCAACTCTTTGATTCGTAGAATTTATTCTTCTAGGGCCTTTTAAATGACTTACAGAGGTAATCTTTGACTTATGTCTGTCAAACTTAAATGAATATGGCATTCCTTGGCCAGTTAGGATCCAGTCTTTCTCATCTTAATATTATAATAGATGCTCTTTTTTTCTTCTCCTTTCCTTTCTTTGTTCCTTGTTTTTTCCTATTTGCTTTCAATAACGACTATTTTCTTAGCACCTTCAGTTTTAGGAATTGTGCAAGTTTTAGGGAGTATGAAGATGATGGAGCACAGTACTAGCCCTCAGAACTCTCCTACTTACCTTGTCAGTGTTAGTGCATTCCTTTACATTCCTTCTTTTCTCCATTCTTCTTTCCCTTTCCTAGCCATGAGTTTCACCCCAGTCCCTAGTTCCATTGAGAATACGGTATTTCCTCCTTTTGTTATTGATAATAGAGGCAACAACTTGGTTAGAGATGAAGGGTTAAACATTAGGGCCATTTTTAAGGCTTCTTAGCCACCATTGCTCTTCTTTGTTTGATTCATAATGTTCCTCCTGGGACCTATTTGTTTTTGGAGATTTTTGTCCATAGTCATCTCTTGGCTCCTGTATTTTCAATGTGAGTCATATAGAAAGTGTTATAGGCCATGACATTTTATTTTATTTTATTTTATTTTAAAGATTTATCTATTCATTTGGAGGGGTGCGGAGAAGAGGGAGAGAATCTGAAACAGACTACCTGCTGAGCACAGAGCCCAAAACAGAGTTGATCTCAGGAACCTGAGATCTGAGCCCAAACCAAGTCCAACCTTAACTGACTGAACCACCCAGGAGCCCCCCCTGACTCTATTTTAAAATACACATGGAGAGGGGTGCCTGGGTGGCTCAGTCAGTTAACTGTCAGCTTTTGGCTCAGGTCATGATCCCAAGGGTCCTGGGATTGAGCCCCATCTCGGGCTCCCCGCTCCTTGCTCAGCCAGGAGTCTGCTTCTTTCTCTCCCTCTGCCCCTCCCCCTGCTTATGCTCTCTCTCTCTCTCTCTCACTCACTCTCTCTCAAATAAATGAATAACATCTTTAAAAAAAAGTACATGGATAATTTTAAGTCTATTTTAGAACTAATAGTATTGTTTTGTATTTGTCATATTTGCAGTACTTCAGGTTAAATGTATTGACCTAAAGTCCTAACCACCATTTGAAATATTTTTCTTTGAACATACATTCCACATAGCAAATGCATGATAAACAAACATTAGAAATAGAATTTTTAAAAATTAAAAAAATTAAAAATTAAAAAATTTTAAAAATACAGTTTTAAAGAATAGATTTCCTATCTGTAAATCCCAGTTATAAAGATTTTATATGCTAAGGACTTTAATTATTTAATCACAAATATAAATACTCTGAAAAATTATACTTCTAAGAAAGATAGTTTAGAGTAAATCTAGTTTCCCAATACAAATTGGGTTACTGATATTTTATTATAATTTTTTCAGAAAAATTACTGAGAAAGATATCCAAAAGAATATGTATGCTACATGTAGTTTTAATTGTTTTATTAAGGCCTTTTGTTTATTTCTTTTTGCTACCCCCACATATCTTTTGCCTTGCAAGTCTGATTAGAAAATAATAGTTAATCTTGCAGCTTTAAAATTTGTTTTGACCGAAGTACAATGTGAAAGGTTACAATGCCATCAGCTATTCTCTTACCTGTTATTCCTGGCTTATTACATTCAATCTTCCTTCCCACCACACATATGCATTTTTCATTTTTGCCTTGTATAGTTAAATTTTACTTAAAACTTTTAAGAGATACTTTGCTTATGGAATGTATCTTCCTTTAGGCTGTATTGTCAGTAAGATAATTAATTGCTTTTAATGTTACTGCCTATTCTGTTTCTTCCTTTATCTTAGATGACTTTTGTAGAAAAAACTCATTTTGATACTTTTTCCATGTTGTGCTTTGACTTCTCAGAACACTGGAAAACCAAAAAGGAAGTGGAGTAAAGAAGAGCCCTATGTTATGTGGACAGTATCCTGTTAAAAGTGAAGGAAAGGAGCTGAAGATAGTTGTACAGCCTGAGACCCAGCACCGAGCTCGGTACCTGACTGAGGGTAGCCGTGGCTCAGTAAAGGACAGAACACAGCAAGGCTTTCCTACAGTAAAGGTACTTATTTTATTTTTCAGTATACAAAGAATTTCTCCAGTTTCGTTTTTAACCAGCAAAAGCTGCCCACAATAGAATAGTAGAATTATTAGATATATATAATGGAAATTAAAGCAAAAGTCTAACTAAATTGTAAGTGCATTATTGTTATTTTTATTTCATTTGAATTTTAGCTTAGATGAAAGAGGAAGTGAGAATGTATTCTGATAAATATTAGAAAATCATGAATTATGTTCTCCTTATATTTGACATTGGTAGCAACTGTATTCACTTGTTCCCAAACTTAATATTTAAGAAGATATTTTAAAGTGGATTCAAAAAAATAATTTAGAAATTATTATGAGCTTGGAAAATAAGGTTTTGAGATGGCTAAAGAAATCAGGACTGTTCATCTCAGAAAAGAACTGGTTGAAAATAATTTAAGTCTTCAGTTTAAGAGTTAGGATATTGGGGCACCTGGGTGGCTCAGTTGGTTAAGCAACTGCCTTCAGCTCAGATCATGATCCCAGGGTCCTGGGATCGAGCCCTACATCAGGCTCCCTGCTCAGTGGGGAGCCTACTTCTCCCTCTCCCTCTGCTTCTCTGCCTGCTTATACTCTCACTCTGTCAAATAAATAAATAAAATCTATGTTTAAAAAAAAGGATTAGGATATCGTTGGCGCATGGGTGGCTCTGATGGTTAAGCATCTGCCTTCGGCTCAGGTCATGATCCTAGGGTTCTGCAATCAAGTCCCACATTGGGCTCCCTGCTCAGTAGGGAGACTGCTTCTCCCTCTGCCTCTCTCTCTTTGTGTCTGTCACGAATAAATAAATAAAAATTTTTTAAAAATTAGGATATCAACTGGATCTTCATCTTTTCAGAATTTAGACTAAAAGAAAAAAGAAGCTTAAATTTCAGCACCTGGGAAACTTAGAATATTTCTCTTTGAAGACAAACCAAAAAAGAGTTGGGTGGGGAATATTTAATAAGTGTTTCTGTTTCTTATAAAACATTAAACAGGGAGGAATTTTGGCATAGTAAATTCTTGTTAAATGCAGTTTGTGAAAATGTTAGTTGAACAGTATTCAGTTGGACTGCCTTTCATTTTAAATTTTAATAAAATATGGTAGAATCTTGGGGTCAGGAAACCTGTCCGTGGCCATTTATAAGGTTGGTTAATATTCAACAACATCATTCTTTATCCCTCTGCTACTCTTCACACCAACCCGTCCTTAGTCCCTCATACTCAGGACAAATAATAGGTGAATAAGAAATTTCAATTATGCTTTCTGTAAATACTTATCTAACGAGAAGTGTTGATAGTTTGGTCAGTATTTTTAACCCAATTGCTCTGACTTTATGCTTTAAGTACTCTCTGGTCAGAAGTATTATTAGATTGTCTAACTGTGATAGGGAGTGAATTGCCTGACCTCAAAAGTTTATTTATTCTTTCATTCAACAAATATGCACCCCTTTATGTGCCAGACACTGTTCTAGGTACTGTTAGTGGTTTGAGTAGATTGTTTATTTATCTGTTTATTTCCCTTGTTTTGATATCTTTTCACAGATAGAGCCATACTGGGTTAGAAAAGATGTATGAATTTTTTAAAGCCTTTTGGTATACATTGTACAGGTTATTTTGTGACTTTATGCATTCTCTTTTAGCTCCTTCAGTGTTTAACTATATAAACATGAACAAAAATCTGCATTGGAAACATTTTTCCCCAAATGCTGTTTTTAAATATTTATTTATTCTTCACCATACAAATTACAATTTAGGAAGGCTTGTTAGAGACCTGAAAGGACCCATAGATCCTGGTCTAAACTAACAGTTTTCAAACCGTATTTTTTTTTTAAAGATTTTATTTATTTGACAGAGAGATCACAAGTAGGCAGAGAGGCAGGCAGAGGGACGGCGGGGGGGGGAAGCAGGGTACCCACTGAGCAGAGAGCCCGATGCGGGGCTTGATCCCAGGACCCTGAGATCATGACCTGAGCTGAAGGCTTAACCCACTGAGCCACCCAGGCACCCCCAAACTATAATGTTTTGGCCCATGATTTCATGATGGTGTGTGTGTCTGTCTAATCTATGCAGATGAGCTCCATTTCCCTTTTATTTATATAGGAGCACTTCAGACACTTTCCTATTTACTATTAAAAGAGTAAAAAATTCAGTATGTGTATTCATTTGATGATGATAATAATGATGCCAGTAAAACAATTTAGTGAATTTTCCATTAGTGATGGTGGTAAATTTTGAATAACACGCATGCTTTGGCAGTCCATAAATTTGTAAATACCTAAAGGACACTGTATTCATTTGCATCTAGTTGTACAAAATTATAAATGGTAATTTATCATTAAACATATAAATTTTCCTCAAAGTGTGATTATTTCAGAATTAAAACTTAAAATTTCCTACAGAAACTTAGCCAACTCTCCTTTTTATGAAAATGTTGTACTTCTGTTTTTCTTGAGGATTTAAATTATTTCCTTATTGTTATCCAGTTATAGGACTTGGTCTTAAATATTTGATTGGACAATTAGATTATTTGAAAGGCTAATTTATGTTCTGTGTTATCTCACTCCAGCTGGAAGGCCATAATGAGCCCGTAGTGTTGCAAGTGTTTGTGGGTAATGACTCTGGTCGAGTGAAACCACATGGATTTTATCAGGCCTGCAGGGTTACTGGGCGAAATACAACTCCCTGTAAAGAAGTGGACATTGAAGGCACTACTGTTATAGAAGTTGGTCTTGATCCAAGCAACAACATGACACTGGCGTAAGTACTTACTATAAAAAAATGTTTCAGTATACATTACACTTTTGCAGGGGGCTCAAAAAAAATTTAGTTTTTAGTGTAAAAAAAAAAAGACTTTGAGTATTTTATTAAAATGTTTTAAACATTACAATTACAGAAATAGATTATTGCAGAATGGTAATGGGTTAAAATGGACTCTTTTGCTCTTTGCCGTGGAATTCCCATGATGAAAGGCAAGGAAATAAGAGCCAGGTGGAATGCTGACTTTTTAAAAAATAATATGGACTTACTTTTTGGAATTAATAAAAGTAACTTTAAAAAATAAAAATTACAAACAATTTGATTTGCTCTCCTAAATTCTGCCTTTTCTCCCCCCCTAAATCCTGCTTTCTTAGTGTTTGCGTTAGAAACTTTGATAGACCATTCGTGGTACCCTGACCCATCTTGATGTGAAAAAGCATATTGTGTTTATTTCACCTTCTGTGTTTATTTTCCTATATTAAAAAAGAGTATTTTTTTCATCTTATGGATTTTCATTGCCTAAAAAAAATATTAGAAGTGTTAATGATTTAAATTTAAAAATTTTTTCCCTTAAGCCTTTTGCTAAGGTCCTTTAATCCTAAAGTTGAACCGTAACAGCAGCAGATATATTGAAAAGGGGTAGACTTACATTGTAATTATTTGTATTAGATAGCTAATGACATTTCTGTATTTAATTCTGAGTTTCCTTTTGAAAGCCATTTTGAATAGGTTAGTAAGAGGTTAATTGGAAAGGGAAATTTTGAAAAATATTTAGTAAAGACTTATTTTTTAACTTTTGAAAATTGTAAAAATAAACATATGTAGTGGAAGAAAGGAAGGAAGTTACTGGTTATAAAAATAGTGCTTATTCACTATAAGTTGAAAATACAGAACAATAAAAAATAATAAAGAAAAATGAATAATAAAAAACTAAAAACATACCTCTCAAAAGCCAACTACCCAGAAATAACCACCTTTTTTTTTTTTTTTTTTTTGAGAGAGTAAGCGAACAAGAGAGAGAACACAAGCTGGAGGAGGGGCAGAGGGAGAGGGAGAAACAGACTTCCCTCTGAGCAGAGAGCCAAATATAGGGCTCAGTCCTAGGATCCTGGGATCATGACCTGAGCCAAAGGCAGCTGCTTAACCGACTGAGCCACCCAAGTGCCCAGTAACCACTATTTTGATATGTATCTTTCTATTCTTTTTTTCTGATAACATTGAAATAATACTGTACCCATTGTTTTGTAACCTTGCTTTCACTTACCATCAGCATATTCCATATAGTAAATATTATCTTATAGCATATTTTTTTAATAGCATATGTTTTAATGGCTATATAGTGTTCCGTTCTTTTGGAAACAGTTGCTAGTTTTGTGTGTGTGTGTGTTTTGTTTTTTGGTTTTTGTTTGTTTTTTTTTTTAGTAAAATTCATTCCCTTTATTTTAATATATAAATTTGCAAAAATAGAGGATGCAGTTATTTTTTTTTGAATAGCAGTTAGGGTGCCTGACTGGCTCTTAATGTCAGCATTGCGAGTTTGAGCCTCACACGGGGTATAGAGCATGCTTTAAAAAAAATAAATTAAGGGGCATCTGGGTCGCTCAGTCAGTTAAGTGTCTGCCTTCAGCTCAGGGCATGATCCCTGGGTCCTGGGATTGAGCCCCTGCTCAATAGGGAGTCTGACTCTCCCTCTCTTTCTGCCTCTCCCCTGCTTATTCTCTCTCTCTCCAATAAATAAATACAATCTTAAAAAAAAAAAATAGAAAAAATAAATTAAAAATTTTAAATGGCAAAATTATCTCTTATAAACCCTTATGTTCAGATTTTGAAATAGTGATTTTGCTTTACTATTTTTCCACTATTATTATGAATGAAAATTTGGCAAAAATTATGAATACTCAGAATTCACCCTTCCATACATTTTAAATTTGGAAACTTATGATTGTATTACATTTTCAAAAAACTAATAATTAGCAAAATTTTTTTTAAAAGAAACTTATTTGGGGCATATGGGTGGCTCAGTCAGTAAAGCATCCGACTCTTGATTTCAGCTCAGGTCCTGATCTCAGGGTTGTATGGTTGATCCCCCATCAGGCTCCACACTATGCATGAAACCTGCTTAAGAAGATTCTCTCTCTCTCTCACTCCCCCCCCCTTCTGCCCCTCCTCCCTAAAAAAGAGGCTTATTTGGTTAAGAATATTGTACTATTTATAAAACAGAAAATATCAGTTAATGTCTTTTTCTTTGTGTGTTAGGGTGGACTGCGTAGGGATATTGAAATTGAGGAATGCTGATGTTGAAGCCAGAATAGGAATTGCTGGTTCCAAGAAAAAAAGCACTCGTGCCAGATTGGTTTTTAGAGTTAATATCACGAGGAAAGATGGCTCCACTTTGACACTGCAAACACCCTCTTCTCCGATTTTATGTAGTAAGTAAGAAAATATGTATTGAATTTTTTTCATTTTCTGTTAATTTGCAGACATCTCTAAATTTCAGATGTATCATATGTTCTAGCTTGTGATCTTGCAAAACTTGAAACATTTTAAAAAGCTGTAGTCAAATTTTCTAGACTAAAAGGTGGGTAATATCAAATAAAATTCTAAAGGTGTATAGTATTTTGTAGTTCCCTATTATCCCATACTAATTTTAAAAGTAATATGAGGGGACGCCTGGCTGGCTCATTCACTAGTGAATGTGACTCTTGATCTCAGGGTCATGAATTCAAGCCCCCCACACTGGATATGGAGCCCGCTTAGATTTTTTTTTTTTTTTTTTTTAAGTACTTTAGGGGCACCTGGGTGGCACAGTTGGTTAAGCTTCCAGCTCTTGATAACAGCTCAGGTCTTGATCCTCACGGTCATGCATTCAAGGCCCGTTGTTGGGCTCCATGCTTAAGAAAATGTACTCTGAATGGTTTACTTGAAGTAAATTATAAATCCAAAGGATTTTTTTGGTGTATCTTTATTGTGTGGTAAATTGCTGTGATCCTAAGTCTATTTTCTATCAGAACATAAGAAACACTAAGGTAAGCAGAACTTTGTGAATATACAGTAGTTGGGAGTTCTGATTACAAATTATAGCATTAAATTACAGTGTTGGGAAGTGGGAAATAAAATTCTTACTTTGCTCAACTTGGCTTACCTTGTATGGATTCCATTCTATAGTTGATGAAACTGAGATTTATAGAGATTAAATAACTCCTTCAAGGTCACACAGCTTGCAAATAGTAAGACTAGGATTCAGAGCCTCTACTTTTAACCACTATGCTCTTTTGTCATTGTAATCACTTAGAATGGCAATGCTGAAACCAAGTTTAAACAATTCATTTCATCCTAACCATAGCCGCTGGGTGGTTAAGACTATGGTTAAAAAAAGAGATTATTTAATGAACCATTTCCCCTACCTAAGAGATTTATTGGTGTAGTTTAGATTTTTTTTTTTAATAAATTTTATTATTTTTTTAAACATATAATATATTTTTATCCCCAGGGGTACAGGTCTGTGAATCGCCAGGTTTACACATTTCACAGCACTCACCATAGCACATACCCTCCCCAATGTCCATAACCCCACCCCCCCCCCCCC